AAAAGTCAGCTAAACTCATATCATTGCGGGAAAATTCTACTACCAGTCCTTCATCACCTTACACGAAATAAGGTGAATACATCTCATTACTTGGTACCCGTCCAAGTGTGTCGAGATTAGAGGCTAAACCAGTGGTTCCCAAACTTTTCCTAGTCGCGGCGCCCTTTTTCAATACAAATTTTTCCATGGCACCCTCGTTAGTACGAGATGAAAATAAATAAAACTTTTGTATCTTCATTATTTTTTTTACTTTATCAACATAAAATTAATATTAAATAATTAATGTGATGGATGAGTCTGCAAATCACTGCACATTTTCTCAAAGTGAATTGTAAAGAGGTCGCGGCTCACAGTTTGGGAATAACTGCCCTAAACTGTTATGTTGAGTTTACTTCCATTTCGAGTAAAAGTGTCGCGTGAAGAGATTCGAGGGTCATCAAACCTTGATGGCCAAAAACATACGTTTCTTTTTGTTGTGCTCATTACGTTGAGCCATCACTGCGGATTTCGTGCATAAGCGAACACATGCACATACAGAGACAGACACACTCACATTTGTTGTGACAATGATACCTCGCTCTGATGATGTCCGTCATACGACGGACGAAAGCTTAGCATCTTTTCACCGGAATCGAAGGAGATTTCCTCGAAAACAGCTTCAGCATGAATCTTCCAGTAAAACCGATCAGCAGCTGGTCACGAGGAATCCGCCATCGTCTTCTGATGGAATCCCATTTGCATCTCTTCACGAAACACTTTCACTCGAAATGGAAATAAGCTCCACAATTATGAAATAAGAGATTCCTCGAAACCCAACTTTTCTTCTCATAAACCATTTTGATTTGATTCTTGTTGGGGGAGGGTGATGAGACAACGAGGCGAAGCTGAATCTATAGTTCAGCCTGAACGATAACGCCCTTTGGGAGGCAAGGTTACATGAAATTGTTTGCACAATGAGGCCTAAATATATACTCCTCGTAAGAGAATTATACAATTTAGGCGAACTAAGGCGCCTTTAGAGCTTATACAATTTGGTGTTTTTCTCTGTCTCTCCTTCAGATCTGAAGCCGGAGGACAACGACTTCTACGCCTGTCTTGCACAAACTGACGTAAATTGCATCACCCTGGCTCCCTCGCCCTCTCAACCGCCGGGTCGGCTCACGGTTCGTTTCGCTCCAATTCACGTACTACCTGCAGCCGTCTGGGCAGCCTCACATCCGAGCACCCTGTTTTCGACCTCCAACTCTTTCAGAACCTACCCCTCATTGGGCTCCGAGCCCGGTTCCCTCGGCTTCAGCTCAGTTTCCAGCTTGCCAGGCTGCGACTTCGAGGCTGGTCAGGGCGGCTCGAGGGCACAGAACTGGCTGCGAAACGGCAGCGGTGGTCCCGCAAAGCCGGGCCCCGGGAACAAGATCGCCGAGGTGTACGGACTGGCGCATCGTGTCTCCCATTTGATATGCCGAGCCAAGGGGCAGCCACCACCCAGTTGGGAGTGGTACCCTCCGGGCAGCAACAGGCCAATACCGAAGGACTCGGATGGGTGAGTCGGACTGGAACTGCGCTACTGCCCTTAAAAGAGTTTGGTGCATCTTCCAATTCTGCTATCATTTTTTAGTTTTTTACATTATTGAGTCATTATTGTGACGGAAAGCAAAACCTCCATGTCACAAAAGTGTCTTATTTTTTCACTATAAATAGGCTAAAGTAGGAGCCTAATCCCTAGAATTTAAGTTTTCCCATAATTATATGAATAAGCCTCAGGATGCCAAGGAATATTGCCTAGACATGCCTTCCAAAAACGAATCTCATCCAAACTGGATTAAGCTGCTGAACTCGTCCCACCACTTCTTGCCGGTTTCGAGCCCAGGTTGGATTGTCAAAGACGTTACTTAGTTTCGATATGAGTAGTCGTCAAGACTATCATTAACTTTTAAATAAGAACTTACTCATCCGTAATCGCTTAAAATATTTTATGGCCAGCCCTTTGAAAGGGTACCCGCCGGGTAGCAACAAACGGATATCTAAGGCCTCGAATGGGTGAGTCGAACTAGAACTGCATTAATTTCTTTGAAAAAGGCCATCGTAGGCATGCTATTTGTCTTTAGTTTATAAATAGCTTTTTAAGAATACAATTAGATCAAATATATGAAGAACTGGGAGTTGAGTTTTCCCATAGTCATATGAATGGAGAAGAAAAGTTCGGTTTTGATGAATCTCTTGTTTCATAATTGTTAAGTTTACTTACATTTCGAGTGAAAGTGTTTGGTGAAGAAATTCGAAGGTCGGTTTCACCAGAAGAGGACGGAAGATTCCTCTTGACCAGCTGTCGATTGGCTTTACTGGAACGTTCACGTTGGAGCTATTTCCAAGGAAATCTCCTTCAATTTTGGTAAAAAGATGTTAAGCTTTCGTCCGTCTTATGACCATCGTCATAACCAAATTCAAGCTAACGAGTCAAGAAAAGTTTTTCAAATTTTCACCGGAATCGAAGAAGATTTCTTTGAAAACAGCGTCAGCCTGAATGTTCTAGTAAAGCCAACCGACAGCCGACCAAGAGGAATCCGCCGTCGTCTTCTGATGGAACCGAGCTTCGAATCTCTTCGCCAAACACTTTCACTCAAAATGGACCAAACATAAGTTTACGATTGAATTGCACAAGGTTTCGAATTCCGCAATAAGTGCTGATTAGTTCGAGACGAAGTTTAAATGGCACTCCTGCCCAGCATGGATTGGAATATGGTTTGGGACGCTTATTTATGTAACTGCGGGAAACACTTCTCTATTATCTCTCAAACAGCCTTAAGCTACCTGGTCCGACCCCGGGACAGGCTTGAAAACTACTCTCATCAAAATGAATATCATAAGTACAAATTTGTCTCACCGACACTCTTAGAAATGATTGGCTTGTCCTATGACGCACTAACATCTGTTGC